CGTCAAGAAGATTCGAACCAGCCCCCACTATCATCCCCCAATCTGATTTCAAACACATTCCCAAAGAGCTGTAAATGGCCAAACTAATACACACACACACACAAACTAACACACACACACATTGCTCAAGGTACGTAAGCTTTAGGGGGAAAAAAATCAATGGACTTGAACATGGACAAAAATCTAAAATATAGTAAATAAGATGCATACGATATACATATATATCGCTTTGGATAAAAGTGTCTGCTAAATGTCTAAATGTAAATATATATACCTATACACACACACATATAGGTTATACTCTCTCTTTGTGTATTTGAGCATCACAGATGGCCGTCCTGTCATTGTTAAGATGAAGACCGGCTCGCAAACAATCCTAAGTGCCTTATTTCCACTACTGTCGCGAACACAGCGCCTGTATGCTCGACGCAGCTGAGCAAGCCATTATTTTCATTTAGCTGAGATCTGAAAGACTCCCTTCTGCAAAAACTCGCTTCACTTTGTACTCGAGACTCTTTCGCCGAGCTTTCCTACACTCACACAAGCGCGCGTAAACCCACAGTTCACAGTGTCTCTGTCAGAGCGGAAGCGTCATTTGTATTCCGCGCGACTCTCGCCAGGTAAGTAATGACAAGCAGCAAAGGCCAGCGTGTCACAGCTCTTCTCAGATGACGTCAGGCTTTCACACGCCTGTAGGCTCTGGCGCAGATGAGGCTGCTTCTTCCCTCTAATGAGCTGCTGTTTGCCTCTCAGGACTGTACATTATCTCCGGTGTCCTCCGGCCGGGTTCAGGTAATAGTCACGGGTCTCCGTAACGCGCGCGGATTCCGGCGCATGATTTCCTGCTTTCATTTGCATTTGAAAAGCCGTATCCTCGCGTGGGATTAAGCATAATGAGAGTCGTGAATACAAAGATGAAGAAAAATGCGATGAAATGGTTCATTGTTGTGGCGACAAGGAGAGTTTGATGCGGCTGCAGTGAGCATGGCCTTGGTTCCGCCAGAGCTTTTCGTTTTTTTCTCATTAATTTTCTGCTTACACATAAATAAATAATAAAAACGGAGCCAAACCAACTAGCTCAGAGATGAATCATTACAAAAAAAAGGGATTTTAAAATGTTTACATTAAACAAACTATTTAACTCCAAAAAGCACTGCAAATAAAATTACTATTTTAAAGTCATTAATAATAAAATACAATATTCTAAAGTAAATTTCCAAGTTAAAAAAATAATATGATAATATAAATTATTTCAATAAGGATTCCTATAGAAATTATATCAAATGAATTAAAATAATACGCATGTTCAGAAAAATTGTATGCTGTGAAAGCAGATGCTATTATGATGCACTATAAATTTTAATATATAAAATATAGTTAGGCCTACATAAAATGAATACATATACATTATAAATAAAATATTAAAGGGGTCATATGATGCGATTTCAATTTTTCCTTTCTCTTTGGAGTGTTACAAGTTATTCGTGCATATATAAGATCCGTAAAGTTGCAAAGACTGAAGTCGCAAACCCAAAGAGATATTCTTTATAAAAGTTAAGACTCGTCCACGCCTTTCTAAAACGCCTCATTTCAACAACACACCCCCACAAATCTACATCACTGTGTTGGACGATTTGAAAAACACCACCCAAATGTTCACGCAAAGAAAGAAGGCGTAACTTTTATTCTCACTGTAGTATTGTTACCATCGCCGCCATGTCGTGGAGACGCTGTGTATTTCCAAATATGGTAAGGGCGTGATATTTCTGTCAGACACCTGAGGAATTCGGCCAATCACAACGCACTGGATAGCTGGCCAATCAGAGCACACCTCGCTTCTTTACAACGATGAGCTTTGTAGAGAGGAGCAACAATAATGTATGGTAACCTTAAACCTTAACCTTACACCAAATACACAAAATGATGTTATTTGTAGCATTGTCATATGATCCCTTCAATTTTTAATATAAAATAATGAATAAAAAACATTATTTATACTGAATGTTAGAATGAATTTACAATGAATTAGTTTTACGATTTCCTTGGTAAATTGACTTCTTTGATTGGCATTGCTGTCATTGTTGACAAACTGAAAACTAATAAAAATAGTTTTCATTAACATAAATGAAGCTGAAGCATAACAAAATAGAACTATTAGAAGAAAAACTTTTAATAAAAAAATGAGCATGATGGAAACTAGAAAAGTTGCTTTACTGAAATAAGTCTAAGTTAAAGTACTAAAATTACTGAAGCGGAAATAAGAAGCTGAATATAAATATTTCAAAATAATAAAGATGATACAAGCACATAAATTGCTAAAGCTGATATGAAAGACTAAAACTGAAAACATTATTCATTATTTTATTATTTATATAATATTATTAAACATAACACAATATTAATAACACTAAAATAACACTGCTGATTGGTGGATTTTCTTTAGGGATTGTGGGTAATGTAGTTTTTCATTGGGAATTTATCAATTACACATGATTTTGTTTATTTTTTGTTAAAAATTTTAATCACGATGACTTGTGGCTCCTACAGAAGCATGAAACCTGCGATAGCTCAAGGTACTTCTGTATTTAAAGGCTTGTACAGTACGTAATTGCTAAAAAAAAGTTCTCTGGATCGAATGAATGGGACTTCCAGAAGCTGACTGTTGTGCTCCATAGCATGTTTATCAAGGCATAAAACAACATCCTGTGTGTTCTTAGAAACATAATTAAAAGGTCCTAACAAATAGAAATGTTTTGGTGTCAGATCTTATCATGGTATCTGCCGTTGGTACATGCTCAAATCAGCTTGCTTGCTCTATTATTTAGGTAATTGCTTTTCAGTACCGGCACTGAGGAGAAAAAAGCTGAGCCATTCGTCTCGTATGCAGATAATGAGCAAATGTCCTCATGCTAATGAAATGTCTTTTAAAAGATTGTTGTGGGACATTGATTCTGATCCTTAACTGTGCTATTAATCCCTATTTGCCCTTCCGTTCCTCGAGATGGCAACCCTCTCCCTGTGATGAAATATAATTTTTCATTTCTTCAGGAAGGGATGAAAAATGGATGATCTTAGAGGTACAAAAGCCGGAGTCTAGATTGCCTGCAGCTTGCAAACAGGTATTACAAAATAGAGCCATTACGGCAACATCAGCCTGCAAATGGATTTGAAATTGAGTGGAAAACCATGCATGTGGAGGGTTAGACTCTTAGCTGCCTTGAAGGGAATTATAGCGAGTAAAATATTCACGCCCCAAAAAAGGGCAAAAGTAAATGAAAGAAGGGGTGACACTTAGACCAATACGCTTTCAATTGCCTAGACTAAAAAGACACAAATCAAGTTTTCCTGAAGAAAAAAGTGCCTACAAGTAAAATATCTGTATTAATGCTGCTCCAGGAGTTCATTTTTCCTTCACTTTATTGTGCAAGATTCAATCCCACACAGAAAGTGATTCCATTGGCTGAAAGATCTTGCTTTGGGAATTGTATTTAAAAAAATTATAATTATATATATACGTGCATATATAAGATCCGTAAAGTTGCAAAGACTGAAGTCGCAAACCCAAAGAGATATTCTTTATAAAAGTTAAGACTCGTCCACGCCTTTCTAAAACGCCTCATTTCAACAACACACCCCCACAAATCTACATCACTGTGTTGGACGATTTGAAAAACACCACCCAAATGTTCACGCAAAGAAAGAAGGCGTAACTTTTATTCTCACTGTAGTATTGTTACCATCGCCGCCATGTCGTGGAGACGCTGTGTATTTCCAAATATGGTAAGGGCGTGATATTTCTGTCAGACACCTGAGGAATTCGGCCAATCACAACGCACTGGATAGCTGGCCAATCAGAGCACACCTCGCTTCTTTACAACGATGAGCTTTGTAGAGAGGAGCAACAATAATGTATGGTAACCTTAAACCTTAACCTTACACCAAATACACAAAATGATGTTATTTGTAGCATTGTCATATGATCCCTTCAATTTTTTCAAATACTTATTTTCCACCATAATTTGCAAATAAATTCTTAAAAAATCCTACAATGTGATTTTCTGGATTTTTTTTTCTCATTTTGTCTCTCATAGTTGAGGTATACCTATGATGAAAATTACAGGCCTCTCTCATCTTTTTAAGTGGGAGAACTTGCACAATTGGTGGCTGACTAAATACTTTTTTTCCCCACTGTATTTCAACTAAACTGCTTCACTGCTTTGAAAAAAAAGTATTAATAAAAATAATAATAAATTAAATAAAATAATAAAAAAACTTTGTCATGTGGGTCAACCAACATTCAGAAACATGCGAGAAACAAAAACTAAAACAGAAGATGAAACAAGAAAACAAAAGCACAATGCAAAAAACAAAAACAACATGAAACAACAATGTAAAACAAAAACACAACTAAACAAAACATTTATAATTTTATTTTATGTCTGATCACAAATCCTACAACATCTCTGTCAAATTTGGGAGTAATTAGCAAATACTACATGTTTTATTTTTTATTTATTATTATTATTATTTTAATGTAACAAGCTCAGAAAAGGAAATGCTACCTCAGCAACGAACACTAAAATACAAATCAATTAAATAAATAAATAAATAAATAAAAGGAAACTGAATATAATATCACTGATACAAATTCATATTAGTGAACATATCTGATTTGCGAACTAGATCAACTGGAATGTTCCTCTAAAAATAAAAGAACTTGCTCAAAATAACTATCACAAATGGGAAGCAACCATTTCAGAGCCATTTCATTGTCATTGTATGGAAAAGCTGCAACATTTTTCATGTTAATTTTTCAACATATTTCTGTCTTTCACAGACAAAATGCGAGCTTTTGTGTTTAGAACGAGATGAGGGCGAAAAAAAGAAAAGAAAAAGATTTTCGATTCTCTCTGAAATATCGAGTACAATCAATGAGTGACAACGGCACATAAGTACTTGAAACCGATGCACATTGTAAAAAGTACTAAAACAAGCATTACCTTTTCTGCAGATTGTGCCGTCCCAAAGAAAATGGGAATGAAGGCAAGCCACACAATGCAGGTGGTGTACATGGTGAAGCCGATGGGTTTGGCTTCGTTGAAGTTCTCCGGAACGCCTCGCGTCTTGATGGCGTAAACCGTACATGTTACCATCAGCAAGATGCTGTATCCTAGAGAGCAAATGATTTGAAGGTCCGTAATGTCACACTTGAGAACCCCTCGGGCCTTGTCGGGGTTTATGGTCTTCTGCTCATCGTAATCGATTATGGTGTTCGGAGGATCCACTCCGAACCATATGAGGACCCCTAAGAGCTGGACGGAGATTAGGCTGGAGGTGATGGCTAACTGAGACGTCGGGCTGATCAGTTTAGGTGGAGAAACCGACTTCTTCCCTTCCTCGAAGATGCGGTAAATTCGATTGGTCTTAGTGAGGAGCGCGGCGTAGCTAATACACATTCCTAACCCAAGGAAGATTCGTCTGAAGGAGCAAACGGCAATGTCCGGAGTGGCGATCATTACAAACGTGATGATATAACACAGGAATATCCCTGTCAGCAGAACATAGCTGAGCTCCCTCCCAGACGCTCGTACGATCGGGGTGTCGTTGTAGCGGATGAACGTCGCCATAACAAAGATGGTGGCAATGATGCCAAGCATAGCCAGGAAGACAGGAATGACGGCCCAGGGTGAATGCCACTCCAGCTTGACGATCGGGATGGGCTGGCACCCTGTCCGGTTGCCGTTCGGACGCATGTTGTAAGTGCAGAGTTTGCAGGACGTCTCGTCATACTGGTACTGGTAGCCATCACAGGGCTCGCAGTGCCAGCAGCACGGCATGCCTTTCACCATCTTCTTGCGTTGACCCGTCTTACAGGGCAGACTGCAGACTGAGCTGGGTATTTCCATCTCACCGTTGGGCCACTGCATCTCATCGATCTACAAAGAAATGGACACAAAACAGCATTTGGGTTAATGACAATGCAATTTTTTTTCTCTCTCTCTACTATATTTTTTACAAAAATACATAAATAAAATGTATTGATTATATGAACTGGCTTAAATACACCACTCTAATAATGAGTTTGATATTTCTGAATTTAAATTGAATTTGATGTTTTTTGGTGGGTATGGGTGAAAAAATGTCAGTAGAATAGATCTGTTCTTATAGGATAATGAAGGAAAAGATTTAAATGTAATTCTTGAAAAGAAATCCTTATAAAAATAAACACATGAATAAAAATTAATGAAAATATATATTTTTTAAATATTTGAACAAAACTGCTTCATTGCTTATATATATATATATATTATGAACAATATCACTCTCGTACTCAAGCGATACCGGCTCTATATCAGCATGGCTGTGATTAGGCCAGAGGCACGAGGCCGCAGGCCACGTGCCGGATATAGAGCCGGTATCGCTCGAGTACTCGAGTGATATTGCGTTTATAAAACAGTTCGACGGAACATGTGTGTAATTAAACAAGAAACAACGGAGTGCCTAATAAAACCCTCTTTTGTGTGGAGCTAATTCCTTCCGCCACGGATTCAAAGCTCAAGTTGACAGTTAAACATACGTCACTTTTAGAATTCGTATCAAGGGCATGTGCTGCTTCAGTTAGGTTATTAGTGAGAAATAATGAGGTTATAAGAGAGAAACAATGCTGCAAGACGTGCATCCAAATGAGAGAGAGAGAGACCGTGAAGCTAGACGTTTCTTACAAAACAAAAAACAGCACACACAAAACAAAAAACTAAATAAAACCGAAACAAACAACAACATAAAACAAAAGAACAAAAAAACTACAAGAAACAACAAAATAAAATAAAAACACACTAGAAAACAACAATACGACACAAGAACACAATACAAAAAACACAATAGAACAAAACATGAAACAACAAAATAAAACAAAAACACACAAAACACATCAAAACAACAATACCAAATAAAACAGACAAAAAAAAACAACAAAAACACAATAAACAAAGCACTGCAAAACAACAAAAATACAACAGAGCAACAAAAAAACACAACACATACCAAAACAATACTATAAAAACAAAGAACACAAAACTCACTCACACACACACAAACTAACAAATAAAACAGGAAATGACATCAGAGAGGACCTCTGCAGACTCTCATGACTTTGTGTCAAGGTCAGTTCGTCTTTTAAAATATATTTGACTGGTTGTGCATTTCAAAGTCATGTAAAGCTCTGGAGTTTTCAAGAATCTATATTGCAATTTTAAAATAAATTGTTTAAGAGCAACACAACCAACATGCCCCTATTTTTTAAGTTAACAAGTTAATTATGTGCACCCATGAAAGGGTGTAAATGCTTTTAAGTGTGATCATAGGGAAGAAAAGAAAAATGCATTATTTTTAGCCTGCTTATTGCTTTCCGTCCACTCCCTTATACCTCCGTTAATATGCACTTTGAATTTCATGCCTTTCATTCAAACATTGCTGATTGCAGCGTGATTACCAGTGATTTCTTTTAGCCCTTCGTGGCAACAATCACCATGGAGACGGCCACATTTTAAAGAAAACAAGAGCAATAAGAAGGTGGTGAGAGAAATGCGGCAAATACCACTTTTTGGAATGCGTGAACAAATCACATCACATAATAAAAGAGCACTGAAGAACAGTTTTAATCTCTTATAACTTCACAATGATTACTGGTTTGGATTTAGTGGAGAAATAAATCAGCATTTGCTTTCACCAAGAGGCCTGGATAAAAATTCTGAATTTAAATAATACACAGAAGGACTAGAGAAACGTGTTAATTTAAAGACATAATTCATTCATATCATTTGTCTTTTTAATATAATATTGAAAGTAGAAAGATGAAAAAAACAAAAAAACTGCTCCTTGTTCTTCCCCCCCGCCCCACGAAAAACTAGAATTCAGCTTAAATTTTTGTTTTTCGTTCCGGGGTAGAAAAATGGAATACACAGCTTGAATATTATATTTCTACACGTGGGCGGGAATTAAACGAAACAGGAAATGTGGTTGCAATAAATGCGTTATGAATCTGTACAACTGCAGCAGTGGAGGACTATTATTCTGCTGCGTGATACTCGGGAAGGACTGATGACGGCGCGGTTTGATCTTCGGCTGACCAATCAGCAGAAAGATGCGTTTAATTCCCGCCCAAGTGTAGAAATCGAAGATTCAAGCTGTTTATAAATTTTTCTACCCCTGAATGAAAAACAAAAATTTAAGATGAATTCTTGTTTTTTGGATAAAAACCTGCGACTTTACCTGCACGACTTCACTGAGCAACGAAACCGGCAACGCACCTAAGTATTAGATATATATATATATATATATATATAAAGTGGTTCGACCAACATTAAGAAACACACAAGGAACAAAACCAAACAAACTAAAGCAGAACACTAAAAACTAGAACAGCACAACATATAACACAACACACACACACACAAACAAACAAAAACACAGCAACATAAAACACAAAGAACAAAAAGCCCCAACACAACATGAAACAACAAAAATAAAACAAAACACCACAAAACAACATGACACAAGAACAAAAAATAAATAAATACACAACAACAATACAATATAACAAAACAACAATAAACAAATCAACGCAAAACAACAAAAAAATAACAAAAACAACAATACAAAACAAAAAACAGCACACACAAAACAAAAAACTAAATAAAACCGAAACAAACAACAACATAAAACAAAAGAACAAAAAAACAACAAGAAACAACAAAATAAAACAAAAACACACTAGAAAACAACAATACGACACAAGAACACAATACAAAAAACACAATAGAACAAAACAAAACATGAAACAACAAAATAAAACAAAAACACACAAAACACATCAAAACAACAATACCAAATAAAACAGACAAAAAAAAACAACAAAAACACAATAAACAAAGCACTGCAAAACAACAAAAATACAACAGAGCAACAAAAAAACACAACACATACCAAAACAATACTATAAAAACAAAGAACACAAAACTCACTCACACACACACAAACTAACAAATAAAACAGGAAATGACATCAGAGAGGACCTCTGCAGACTCTCATGACTTTGTGTCAAGGTCAGTTCGTCTTTTAAAATATATTTGACTGGTTGTGCATTTCAAAGTCATGTAAAGCTCTGGAGTTTTCAAGAATCTATATTGCAATTTTAAAATAAATTGTTTAAGAGCAACACAACCAACATGCCCCTATTTTTTAAGTTAACAAGTTAATTATGTGCACCCATGAAAGGGTGTAAATACTTTTAAGTGTGATCATAGGGAAGAAAAGAAAAATGCATTATTTTTAGCCTGCTTATTGCTTTCCGTCCACTCCCTTATACCTCCGTTAATATGCACTTTGAATTTCATGCCTTTCATTCAAACATTGCTGATTGCAGCGTGATTACCAGTGATTTCTTTTAGCCCTTCGTGGCAACAATCACCATGGAGACGGCCACATTTTAAAGAAAACAAGAGCAATAAGAAGGTGGTGAGAGAAATGCGGCAAATACCACTTTTTGGAATGCGTGAACAAATCACATCACATAATAAAAGAGCACTGAAGAACAGTTTTAATCTCTTATAACTTCACAATGATTACTGGTTTGGATTTAGTGGAGAAATAAATCAGCATTTGCTTTCACCAAGAGGCCTGGATAAAAATTCTGAATTTAAATAATACACAGAAGGACTAGAGAAACGTGTTAATTTAAAGACATAATTCATTCATATCATTTGTCTTTTTAATATAATATTGAAAGTAGAAAGATGAAAAAAAACTAAAAAACTGCTCCTTGTTCTTCCCCCCGCCCCACGAAAAACTAGAATTCAGCTTAAATTTTTGTTTTTCGTTCCGGGGTAGAAAAATGGAATAAACAGCTTGAATATTATATTTCTACACGTGGGCGGGAATTAAACGAAACAGGAAATGTGGTTGCAATAAATGCGTTATGAATCTGTACAACTGCAGCAGTGGAGGACTATTATTCTGCTGCGTGATACTCGGGAAGGACTGATGACGGCACGGTCTGATCTTCGGCTGACCAATCAGCAGAAAGATGCGTTTAAATCCCGCCCAAGTGTAGAAATCGAATATTCAAGCTGTTTATACATTTTTCTACCCCTGAATGAAAAACTAAAATTTAAGATGAATTCTTGTTTTTTGGATAAAAACCTGCGACTTTACCTGCACGACTTCACTGAGCAACGAAACCGGCAACGCACCTAAGTATTATTTTTATCTTCCCTTTACACACTCTCCTTTTCTGTCCTCTCTTTTCCACCTCTATCATGCATTTCCAAAACATTCCGGTTCTCTCTCAACAATGCTCTAACGTCACACGCAGACGGCAAAGCAATCTTGCTAACCTGCATCCTATCGCTACATCTTCTACTGCACCTCTTTCTATCACTGTGGGTCTCTGGAATTGTCAGTCAGCTGTCAACAAAGCAGACTTCATTTCTGCTTTTTTTTTTTTTTACAATCCACACTCAGCATCTCGGGCTTGACTGTGATCTGGATTCGTCCAAAATACTCAGCAACCCCAGCTGCTCTATCTAACAATTTCTCTTTCTCTCACACCCCCCTTCAGGTTGGCCGGGGTGGGCACACTGTGGTCTGCTCATTTCTAACAATTGGAAATACTCAACCCACTCTCCCCTATGCAATTACAACTCATTTGAATCTCATGTGATCACTATAACAGCTCCTGTAAAACTCCAGGTTGTGGTAATTTACCGCCCTGCTGGGCAAATTCTATCCACCTTCCTAGAAGAGCTGGATGGGCTGCTGTCCTCATTCCCGGAGGATGGCAGTCCACTTTTAGTCTTTAGCGACTTCAACATTCATCTGGACAAGCCTTATGCTACAGATTTCCATTCACTCCTTGCTTCACTTGATCTTAAATGCCTTACCACTACAAGCACGCACAAATCAGGCAACCAACTTGACTTAATTTACACACGCAATTGTATTGCAGACAACATTTTGGTAGAACCCCTACATATCTCTGACCATTTCTACATTTTGCTACCTGTGTGCCACCAATCCCTATACCGTTTACTTTTAGACGAAACCTACGCTCCCTTTCACCCTAGCATCTTTCCTCTGTAGTATCCTCCTCTCTTTCCTCACCTACCCATTTTTCATCTCTGGATGTGAATGCAGCAACTGACACTTTATGCTCTACTTTAACCTCTTGTCTAAACGATATTTGTCCTCTCTCATCCAGGCCAGCATGGGCTGCCCCTTTTAACCCCTGGTTATCCCATGTTCTTCGTGAGCATCGGACCAAACTCATCAGTGCAAATCAAAAGATCCCTCAGACCTGAGTATGTATCAGTCTTTGCTTTCATCTTTCTCTGCTGAAGTCCATACTGCCAAATCTTCATATCTCCATATAAGATCAACAGCGCTCCAGACACACGTGACCTCTTCAAAACATTTAATTATGTCCTCTGTCCCCCTCCACCACCTCTCAATAACAGCTGATGATTTTGCCACATTCTTCACAGACAAAACTAGAACAATCAGTAGTCAATTCTCAGCACCAGGCAACCAACTTGACTTAATTTACACACGCAATTGTATTGCAGACAACATTTTGGTAGAACCCCTACATATCTCTGACCATTTCTACATTTTGCTACCTGTGTGCCACCAATCCCTATACCGTTTACTTTTAGACGAAACCTACCCTCCCTTTCACCCTAGCATCTTTCCTCTGTAGTATCCTCCTCTCTTTCCTCACCTACCCATTTTTCATCTCTGGATGTGAATGCAGCAACTGACACTTTATGCTCTACTTTAACCTCTTGTCTAAACGATATTTGTCCTCTCTCATCCAGGCCAGCATGGGCTGCCCCTTTTAACCCCTGGTTATCCCATGTTCTTCGTGAGCATCGGACCAAACTCATCAGTGCAAATCAAAAGATCCCTCAGACCTGAGTATGTATCAGTCTTTGCTTTCATCTTTCTCTGCTGAAGTCCATACTGCCAAATCTTCATATCTCCATATAAGATCAACAGCGCTCCAGACACACGTGACCTCTTCAAAACATTTAATTATGTCCTCTGTCCCCCTCCACCACCTCCCACCACTTCAATAACAGCTGATGATTTTGCCACATTCTTCACAGACAAAACTAGAACAATCAGTAGTCAATTCTCAGCACCACACACACAGGACATCAAACCAACCACACCCACTGCTAAAACTCCCATCTTCTCCTTCTGTCCCCTCACTGAGGCAGAAGTCAAAACTTCTCCTCTTCAGCCATCCTACAACATGCCCTCTAGACCCAATCCCCTTACACTTTCTCCAAGCAATATCTCCTACACTCTTACCAGCACTCACACAAATCATCAACACATCTCTCCTCACAGGCACTTTCCCCACAGAATTCAAGCAGTCTGTCACTCTCCTTCCATTCATAGGAAAAACCCTCAAATGAATTGTTTTCAAATAGGTATCATTGTTTCCTTCACAGAACAACAAACTGGACGGTAACCAGTCAGGTTTCAGGAGTGGCCATTCAACTGAGACTGCGCTACTGTCAGTCATGGATGCCGTGCGGATTGCAAAAGCTGATTCCGCATCATCAGTTCTCATTCTGCTGGATCTTTCTGCTGATTTTGACCGTGTCAATCCATAATGAAAAGCCACATCAATCCAGATGACGCACTCCGGAGCCCGGCTGATTGAACACGGCCAGCATTCTGCCGCCCAAACAAAAGCAGAAAGACAGCACAGTTAATTTAGCGACTGAATCCCATCTGGGGGTCATGGTGGAAAGGCACAAGAAAGAATGAGAGGGCTTTTTTTCTTGTTCATGGTCTCTGAATCTTATTTGAAATTCCTTGCACCATCTTATCTCCTTTCTTGCTATCATTTTCTATCCAACTCTCTCATGCAACTATGCAGTGATCCTTTCTCCTTGATCAATTTTAAGAAATGGCTCCATTTTAATCTACAGGTATTTGAATTACATAAAAAACATAAATAAATAAAAGGAATTGATAAAGTTGCAAATTGAAAAAAAAAATTAAAAATCAGCAGACAAACAAAATGGCTAAGAAATGTTCTTCCACCATGGAAAGCATACAAAAAATAAAGCAAAAAAACAAAAAAAAAACACAACACACCAAAACTAAAAACAAAACTACTAAAAAGAAAAAAAAAATCATCAGTTCTCATTCTGCTGGATCTTTCTGCTGATTTTGACCGTGTCAATCCTCAGATCCTCCTGTCTGCCCTCTCATCACTGGGCATTACAGGGATTCCACTTCACTGGTTTGAATCCTCTGGTAGGTCTTTCAGGGTGACCTGGGGAGGGGAGGTATCCAAAGCACATCGACTAGTTACTGGGGTTCCTCAGGGATGAGTTCTTGGACCCCTCCTCTTCTCCATATACACTACATCACTGGGTTCCATCATACAGGCACATGGCTTCTCCTACCATTGCTATGCTGATGACACACAGCTCTATCTCTCATTTCAACCAGATTATCCAACGGTAGCTGCACAGATCTCAGGCTGCCTGGCGCGGACATCTCGGCATGGATGAAAGAATATCACCTACAGCTCAACCTGGCAAAGACTGAGCTTCTTGTCTTCCCTGCCACTCCAACTCTATAGTATGATTTCACCATCCAGCTAGGTTCTTCTACAATTACCCCATCAACTTCGGTCAGAAATCTTGGTGGAATCTTTGATGACCAGCTGCCCTTCAAAGACCACATTGCAAAGACTGCTCGATCTTACAGGTTTTCATTGCACAACATCAGAAAGATCAGGCCCTTTCTAACAGAGCATGCTGTACAACTTCTTGCCCAGTCCCTTGTCATTTCTAGGCTGGACTACTGCAATGCTCTTCTGGCTGAACTTCCATCAAGCACAATCAAACCTCTACAAATGATTCAGAATGCAGCGGCATGACTGGTCTTCAACAAGCCCAAAAGAGCCCATGTTACACCTCTTTTTTATCTCCTTGCACTGGCTACTGGTTGTGGCTCGCATCAAGTTCAAGACATGCATATAGAACAGCCACAGGCTCAGCACCCGCCTACTTCCACTCACTCTTACGAATGTACATCCCCTCCAGAAGTCTGAGATCCGCTAGTGAGCGATGCCTTGTGGTTCCATCACAGAGAGGCTCAAAATCACTTTCCAGAACAATCTCGTTCACCATTCCTGGCTGGTGCAATGATCTTCCCACCCCTATCCAGAATGCTGAATCCCTGACAATTTTCAAGCGACAGCTGAAAACTCATCTCTTTTGACGCTACTTGACTTCATCCTAAATTAAAGAAAATTTTTTTATTTTTTTTATTTATTCCTTTCTAGCTTGTACTTTTTTGAACAAATGCCTGAAACTTGGTATTACGAGCACTTCCTGTGTCTGTTTGCCTCTTTAAGAAGAATCGCTTTATGTATTCACCAATTGTAAGTCGTTTTGGATATAAGTGTCTGCAAAATGACTAAATGTAAATGTAATGCCTTTTTTGATGGACCGGCCCTTTAAGAAAGCACTGTGATCTAAATGTTTATGCTTTATTAAACCAGTGCAACATAAATCCCTGCTAAAAATCAGGGATAGTTTGACCAAAAACAAAAGCTAACACCAAAAACCTGGGTATTGATGGCTTCTCCAGAGGACAGCTAGAGACAATTAGTGCCAGAGAAACATTCTATTACACCTGGCTATTATTGGGTCATGTTTGCTTTCAGGACTGAAGAGCATTTCGCTATTTCCGTGGCAACACTGTGAATGTTGGACTGACACCTGGAGATGCCATAATGAAAAGCCACATCAATCCAGATGACGCACTCCGGAGCCCGGCTGATTGAACACGGCCAGCATTCTGCCGCCCAAACAAAAGCAGAAAGACAGCACAGTTAATTTAGCGACTGAATCCCATCTGGGGGTCATGGTGGAAAGGCACAAGAAAGAATGAGAGGGCTTTTTTTCTTGTTCATGGTCTCTGAATCTTATTTGAAATTCCTTGCACCATCTTATCTCCTTTCTTGCTATAATTTTCTATCCAACTCTCTCATGCAACTATGCAGTGATCCTTTCTCCTTGATCAATTTTAAGAAATGGCTCCATTTTAATCTACAGGTATTTGAATTACATAAAAAACATAAATAAATAAAAGGAATTGATAAAGTTGCAAATTGAAAAAAAAATAAAAAATCAGCAGACAAACAAAATGGCTAAGAAATGTTCTTCCACCATGGAAAGCATACAAAAAATAAAGCAAAAAACAAAAAAAAAACACAACACACCAAAACTAAAAACAAAACTACTAAAAAGAAAAAAAAAACCTGCATAAAACCCACCAATACAAAACTAAATACCAAACAAAAAGGCAA